AAGAAGTCTTCCCCACAGTTTGTCGCTCTTGAAGACACTGACATCTTATTATGTCTTCTTTCCCCTTCACCCGTCGGCTCCTAGTTTAAATGATGTGTCGTACAATGCAATCTGGATCAAAAGTCTGGCACATCTAAAACAAAAACCAAACAAACAAACAAAAAAGCCCCCACCAAACCAATGTCTGGATTAGGAATTTGGATCCAAATCAAAAAGTTTCTGTTCTTTAGCCATTAGTGCACCCAGCTAACTGCTGGGAAAGACTGATGCTCAAAAGATAGAGGAAAATGCCACCTGCTTTCTCACGCTGGTTTGTGTTTGCCGTCTCTATAAAAATGCAAGGCAGCATATGCAGAAACTGTGCAGAAACTCCATTCACATGGTAATTCCTTTGTATCTGAATAATTTCTTTTCAGGTGCCTGAATGAATACCAGGCTAGCAGGAGGATTTTGAACATCCCATTCCTTAACTTTGTTCAGGGCTATGTTTAGCATCTTGCTGATTTCGAAGATCAAACACCACCTCTTTGTCTGAGTACTCAAAAATAAAGGTGGGCTCACTGGTTCTAATCCAGTCCAAGTATGCCTGAATAATGTCTGTTTAGATAACATGACCTCAAATTAAATTAATCAAAACCTAGATTTTGTTCGATCACAGGAAATGGCATTATAATGCCCCCCCCCATTATTTATAGGCATGACTAATAACAGAAACAAAAGACTAGGAATTAAACTCACTGATCATTAGACAAAATCCTTTGTCATAAGCCAACAAAAGCAACTGAGCAAATTTCAAGCCAAGGCAATTGCTTGTACTGCAGCGAATATAATTTACCACAATGTTTGCAAGATTGGTTGAGGGATAACACATGGGTTTAGCTTTGGGTGTTCTTCATATTGGGTGGTTTGGGAAAGCTCCTTGGTTGGGTTTATGCAGCCCTACCCTTTACATAAATCACTAGCCTGGATTTTTAATGTTGCTGAACACCAACAAAGCTCTGAAAACAGATAGCTGGAATGAACCTGATCCTTTGTTTTATTTAGATATGAGATGCATCTGTTCATCTACCAAGAGTAGCTCACCATAACATGGTCTGGAAGTACTGATAAGATAAAATAACATTTTTCTCCCCATGGGAGAATATGTAGAATAGGAAGTAGCAATCATATGAGTGTGGTCTGTTTTTAATCTTGAATCTCTAGAAATGTTGATTCAAACCACTGATGAGGCAAATATTGTCATTCAATAGCAGTGGTCTGTACTTAACTATATGTTTGGTACCCTGGGACAACACATCATAAACACAATTCAAATCATCTCACCAGCGGTCTTCACGCCGCAGCCTTTCCAGGTGCTCCAATTAAAGTCCACGAGAAAACATCATGAGGTCATTTCTCTCCATCTACTTGCATGTCAGACAAGGCTGCCCACTGAGCCTGTTGTGGCCTGTGCTGAGCTGGGATCCAGTACTGCAACACCTGGCCAGGTACCTGCTGGTAAGGTGGCTGGTGGGGAGCAGCAAGAAGGGGGCTGCATGAGGAGGCATCAACGCCTTGGGAAGTTCTGTCCCAAGAGAGTGTGAGATTGTGTAGGGGTCAGGACTGTGTGCCACAGGGGTGGAATGGATAGAGAGAAGGAGGATCTGTAGTGGCAGATGGATTTGTACCAGCAATACTGTGTTTTGTTGGTTTTGGTGCCAGTATTCATGCTTTAATAAAGCCTGTCCAAAACCCTTGTCCAGACATACTGTAGTTCACCAGTGTCCTCTTTAAAATGTGCTGCTCAGAACTGGCCACAATATTCTAGATTTTCTTGTTGTTTAGTCGTTTTGTCATGTCCGACTTTTCAAGACCCCATGGACCAGAGCATGCCAGGCCTCCCATAGTTTGGTCAAACTCATGTAAGTAGCTTTGAGAACACTGTCCAACCATCTCGTCCTCTGTCGTCCCCTTCTCCTTGTGTCCTCAATCTTTCCCAACATCAGGGTCTTTTCCAGGGAGTCTTCTCTTCTCATGATGTGGCCAAAATATTGGAGCCTCAGCTTCAGGATCTGTCCTTCCAGTGAGCACTCAGGGTACTTCTACATAATTAAGTATTTACTAAGTAGATGCTCCTAGACCAAAAACCGCCTGCTTGAGTGTTTCCTAATTAGCTAAGTACTGAAGACCCCCAGTTTTTCAGAAGCCAAGCCATAGACTCCTTACTTTTGAATATTATGATATCTCCATGATAGTCTTTGTTATGTGAATGAAACCACAGACCTCCTGGGTGCGTTATGTGGACCCCCTAGGGTCTAGGGACCACCAGTTGGGAACCACTGCTCTAGATACAGCTGGGCCAGTGCAGAATAGGACAAGTTGTTTGCTTCTGCAAAGGCTGACACAGGCCTTTGTTTATATTGATTTCCAAAGCCATGAAATTACTTCCTCTCCCCCCTCCCCCTCTGAAGTTGTGTAAACATTGAGGATGAAAAAGAAATGGTGAAAATCTTACTTGAAAAAAATTATGAGGGGGGGAATTACCCATACCTGAAGTGCTTAATCGGCTATATAAAAGCAAATCTGAATTTTCCGCAGAAAAAAAATGTTCCAATTTTAAACTGCCCAGTTAGAAATCTCATACTGAGATCAGTGTGTTTATTTCCATTATGTAGTAAATATTGCACATTTTGAAGGCCCCCCCTCTTTTAGAGACAATCTGTTCCACATTTTAAGTTTTCTTTTTAAAAAATGTGGCACTTTGCTGTTTATGGATATCTGTGCGTTCTGACTGTCAAACATGCCTAACCGGTGGGAAAAAGCATATTTTACTCTGTGTAATTGGATGCCCCCCCCCACTGTAAGGTGCCATGGGTGCTGTGTTAGCCAGTAAGCACATTACTAGCTGAGATGCATCATATATGAGATATGGCTTTTAGCAGTTGAGACATTGTGGTGAGAGGGAGTTCTCTGGCTCTCCATCCCATTGTGCATAAAAGGAAGAGATTATATTTAAATATCACATACCATTTCCCCCCCTGTGGCTTAGGGTTTTACATAGCATTAAAAAAAAAAATCAATACCAAGAATACTTCTGGATTACTACATTTCAGAACTGGTCTGGCAAAGGCTTGTTTTAAAGCTGGCTGAGTAAGATTTCCTAAGCTACTGTCTGAAGCAAAATACATTAACTGTAACAAACAGGCTTTTAAAAAAACGTTGAATGCTGCTATTGCTAATCAGATTGAACAAGACAAGATTTAGACCCTGATCCCAAGAACTGCAAGTTGAGGACTAACTGCGGATACAGTGGGGTTTCTGAGATTCCTTTCCCTCGTCTTGGAAGCAGTGATTTGAGTCAGAAGACATGCACCCCTGAAACTTGGAGTTGAGCCAGAAGGGACTTCTGAGATCGCTGCCAGAAATCAACTCACCCTAAGGATGCCTTGTGGTACTGGATGCAGGTTCTTGTACATGTTTAAAATTCTGTTTGCGTCATGGCATAAAGCTGCAAGCAGCATTTAAAAGTAAACAGTTTTACCCAAAGTGACAGCTACTACTACATTTTCTGCTTCCAAATGTGAGAAAATTAATGTGCCAAAAAAGTGCCTAATATTTAAAGTCGTCTTGCTCCAGACATTTTTAACAACTGAGATTTGCAGCGGGGTAGACCACTGAAGTGTCTCGTCATTAAATTATGAACTGTACATTAGAAACAGATGTAGCCCTGGAAGGCTTGCATGACAACGCAATCTTCAAGAGTTGGCAATTCTACTGCTGCTAAAACAGGAAAGTGGAGCATGACTAACAGATCAGCTATTCTCCCTAGGACAAAGAAATGAGAATTGTGGGTGTTGACATACGTGGGTTGCAACACCACCTGTTCCAAAGGCCAAAGCTCAGCTATTCTTTATGTCTCCTGAATCTAGCAGGCTGCAAATGCTATTTAATACTAGATCATTGCAACATATTTAAAATAAAAAACAGAGATTGTACCCTTTAAAAAAATACCACCCATAAATTCTTTCTAAACATTGAATAAAACACATTTTATGGAACTAATTATTTTGACAAAAATGGGCATTTCCCATTCTTACTCATGTGAACTAATTTTAAGTATCTTACCTCATTGTGACTAACAACTACAGTGGTGCCTCGCAAGACGAAATTAATTCGTTCTGCGAGTTTTTTCGTCTTGCGAATTTTTCGTCTTGCGAAGCACGGTTTCCCATAGGGTATTAACGGTTTTAAGAAAAAGGAAACAAACTTGCAAGACGTTTTCGTTTTTTCGTCTTGCGAAGCAAGCCCATAGGGAAATTCGTCTTGCGAAGCAACTCAAAAAATGAAAAACTCTTTCGTCTTGCGCGTTTTTCGTCTTGCGAGGCATTCGTCTTGCGAGGTACCACTGTATTAGAAATAAATTAACAACAAACTCAAAAGAGAAATTAGCACGGTGTCAAACACCTTTGTCATAGTCAAGAGTTCATGAGTTTCAATGAGTTCTTTGCCTCACACAAAGGCTTTGCTTTGGCTCAGTGGAATATTTCGCTTTCTTTTCTCTGAATAGAATACACACACATACCATGGAGTGTGTGAATTTTTGGAGGGGATTGGGAAATTGGCCAAGCTTTCGTTAGAATCTGGTGGCTGAAAAGCAGGCGGTTTTTGGTCTAGGAGCATCTACTTAGTAAATACCTAATTATGTAGAAGTACCCTGAGTGCTCACTGGAAGGACAGATCCTGAAGTTGAGGCTCCACTACTTTGGCCACCTCATGAGAAGAGAAGACTCCCTGGAAAAGACCCTGATGTTGGGAAAGATGGAGGGCACAAGGAGAAGGGGACGACGGAGGACGAGATGGTGGGACAGTGTTCTCGAAGCTACCAGCATGAGTTTGACCAAACTGTGGAAGGCAGTGGAAGACAGGAGTGCCTGGCGTGCTCTGGTCCAGGGGGTCATGAAGAGTTGGACACGACTAAACGACTGAAGAAGAAGAAGAAGAAGAAGTCCTGTTGAAAGGGAAGGGCTGTGGCTCAGTGGTGGAGCATATGTATTGCATGCAAAAGGACACAGGTTCAGTCCCTGGCACCCCAGGTAGGATTTGGAGAAAGTCTAAAACCCTGAAGAGCTTGAGCCAGTCAGCCTAGACAATACTTAGCTAGATAGCAGCCCAATCTGGTGTGTCCAGTCCATAGTCTGACTTTCTATAAGGCAGCTTCCTATGTTCCTGTGAAATCTGTGGTTCCTACATCAGAGTGTGTATGGTTATAAGCAGCGCTCATAGAGCTCTGGCTATATAAAATAGTATGAAAATCACTTTCCCTCCTTAGTGCAGGTAATGAAGCCAAATTTAGGAAGGTTCATATAGGTATGGAAATTAATCAAACTGAAGCTTTGCCCTGAAACATGTACGTCCCCCCACAGAGGCAATGAAGCATTAGTTTATACACTTTCCTCATTGCTTCTCAACATGAACAGCATAATTACTCATTGCTATGAGTTTTAGCACTGCAGGTGGTAAAATTAAGACATGCTGTGCAGTCATTTCTATATTGCACCAGGGAGCTGCATACCACAGGAATGAAGGCAGTACATATAACTGAAAATCTTAGTTCTAACTGAAAATCATAGTTAAATAGAAAAGGGAATTTTTAATAACAAAATTATCAATGGTCAAAAATCTTTCATCAAATACTATCCTCCGGAATATTGTTGTTTGAAAAATTATGGAAATTTTCAAATCCATTGCTAGCCTTTGTCTTCCATAGATTTTTGTGACCGAAGCGTGGAGAAAAGTTTTTGTAATTTTAATAAATTATTTGAGGTGTTTGTATCAAATAGTAAATGACTTAACTTCTTCAAAAAAAATTCTGTGCATGGGTAATAATGTATTAAAGTGCCTTACCTATTGTTGAGATCCCCCCCCCCGCCAGAGGTCTATATTAAGAATGTGAAATGAGTTAGCATTCTCAAACAAAGGGAGAAAACAGAGAGATTTTGGGTTATTTTGTTCTTGTCATTCTAAATATGTCCATTTTGGTTCCAGAGAGAGCACCTGTTTAAAATCTTGAAAAGTTCAAGCTGTTGCCATGAAAAGAGGTTCAGTGAAATGTAGAGGTGAGTCCTGCTAGCATATATCCTTTCACTCATGTATCTGGGTCATTTATGAGTATTGGCGCCCACTATTCAAGCAATCCAAATGCTAGCATCCACTTTGGGAGAATTGCGGGAAAAGGATAAGGGAGACAGATACTTAATTGTTTAATCAAGTCTAAAATCATATAGAATGTTGTCGAAATTGTTAATGAAATCTTTGTTTCATAAACATCACCCACTTACATTTATAGTCAGCATTGCATTCTTGGAACTTATTTATTACTAGGAGAACATCTACCATTCACATAGCAAGGGTGATTTATTGATGGCTTAGAAATCTCCTTCACTCCTTTTCTGCCTTTGTTGTCTATACCAATCCTGGATAAAATTGATTAAAAGCAGAATGGCTTTGTGTTCACCTCAGCATGAGGAGTACAGTAGCCATTTTGACTAAATCTTACTCAAATCTGTCAAGCTTCTGAATAAAATTAATTGTCTTGTATTTTACAATGGAAGAGATGAAGCACAACAGCTCACATAAACAGGCTGTAATGGTAATAGCCAATTTAAAGGTTCATTAACAAATACCAGTGGTAGCACTGTAAGCCTCAGCTTCTTATTACCCAGATGTGAAATGACAGAAATTAAACGTTCAAAGAAAGTGATTCCTAAATACCAAAACAAAACAGAAGGGGATTTAAATGAAAAGGTTCTGCTTCGGAGTTTATGGAATATGCAAGCTATTGGTGCATACATATTATACAACACGTTTCGTTTTGCCATAAAAAAGAAAACCTTGCATGAAGGGTATGTGTAAGAATAAAACAGAAGGAGATGGCAGAAGGGTAGTATCTAGTAATAAGTATCTTGATTTGTTGCCCAATCCCCAAATTAGTATTATTGCTAAACTATTGATAATATCCTCACAGTGGAAATGAAGTGGTAAAAAAAACTTGCAACATAAAATAAAGATCCAAATCAAATTGCCTGACAGGATTAGCTACAGATGTAGCATGAATAAGATGGCTGAAGCAGAGATCTTAATGGTGATTAAAACTCATTTAAGCTTCCAGGTTTTCACATCTTCCTTTTCTTTTTTTTAAGGGTGGCCACAGGCTAGGGTTGCCATATTTCAAAAAGGAAGACCCCAAAATTGTTGACTTTTTTTTTTACAATAACATGATTTTTTGATTGACTTTACCTCCAGACATCAATCCCGCCTTTGAAATCCCAGTAATGTCCAGGGAAAGTCCAGACTTATGACAGCCCTACCACAGACATGCTTCAAAATATGGCCTCATAATGAGTGGTCCCTGCCTAATTCTTAACCTTTGCAAATACACACCATGTGGTTCATCTCCTTATCCTGTGAGTAACCACGATCCTTCAGCAGCTACTAGAACCAAAAGTGTGGGTTGGGAAATCTACACGGTGCTGTAGGCAAGTCACATGATAAATAACACTTGAAATTCTTATGAGCCAAGAAAGGAACGGGTGTGTAACTCAGTGGCCATTGCATGCAGAAGGTCACAGCTTCATTCCTTACCTTTTTACAGTAGGCAACAATCCAGCCACATGAAACCTAGTGGCGTCTATACTTCTTTTGCACATCTCTTCATCCAGGCAAGCAAGAGGGATTGTTACTGTTCAAGGGCACATTTCAGGCAGACAGAAGTAGGAGGAGGACATGGAGCAGGGCTGGCAAAAGGGTATGGCCTGGGAAGAGAGACAGGGCCTCAACAGAGTCTCCAGAGTTAAAGGTTTCCCCACCTTGCTTTGGGACATGGCATGGTGAGGAGGCCACCACAAGTGGCAGCTGCTGAGGGCAGGGAAGGACAGTGAAGCATTGGAGAACAGAGATGTACTCTGTCTGCACCCCCTACGTTAGCCTGTGGTGTGGCCAAGGGTGGTTTCCCATTCCTAGTGGCTTCAGTAAGTGGAATAAGGGAGCATTTTGTTCTTGGCCTCAGGCAGCAAAATGTCTTGGTCCTAGCCTGTCTGTGGGATGTAACTGGGTCAAAATACAGTGAAAATTGCCTCATTTCATTTAGTATGCATTGGTTGAAGTATTTATTCTGCAGAGTCTGAGGCAAATTTCCTTTCTCTATTTCCCATTCCTATTTAGTCCACTCTTGCCTATCAGTGTGACTTCCTTACCCCTTCCCCTTTCTACCCCCATTCCTCATTTTTCTCATCTTTCCAGGTTCTCAATTATTTAAACATTTCCTTAGCAGCCGTAAGAACCAGTCCACTAATTCTCTGCTCTACTTAATCCTTTCAAGAGGCAAGGCTGCCTGTCAACAATGGTGAGAGCTCCAAATAAGAGCAGCAGAAAACAGATTGTGAGGGAATGTGGAATGTTTTCCTGTCAATGTTGTCCAGATGTTTTAAAAAAGTTGGACATGGGTTGAGTGAAAGGGAACAAGAGTCACATTTTGTACTTCCCTCCCTTCCCTAAATATGTAGAATAGTTTATATAATATTTATAAAAGAATAAAATGAAAAATGCCTTGAGAAGAACTCTGGAGTGATGAAGGAGCCTGGCAGATGCCTTGTTTTAATCAATCAAGTGTGAAAGTGCTAATGAGAAACCAGGGCCAGCTCTTGAAACCACACACAGGCAAGACAGACTGCAAGAGATTTACAAGAGCAGCTTCTCAAAGCAAGCCAGCGCTGTGGAGGAGCTGGGGGCGGGCAGGCATAAAAATAAAGAATACACACGAAATAAATTTACAGCTGATCTTAACCTTAGCTGGAGAACCAAAGTTGGTCCTTAAGGAAAGGCTAGAGAGAAATCTAAGGATGTGTAACATTTTTCAAAACAATTATTATGCAACCCCACCCGCTCTCTAAGTTTATCTCACTTTTTCTTGGGGTGGGGGAAATAATAGTTTCAGACGGACTTCAATGCCTAACTGAAAGATGTATGAATTGTGTGATTGACATTAAAAGCTTTAATAATTTGCAGAAGTTGCAGAATTAACTTTGGGATGTGTATATGTGTAAGGAAACACATCTTTTTACTCATGAAATCCCCAAATGTCCGCCATTTAGAAAAAGAAGCAACAGGGGACGAAGAGAAGTAATGTTTCAGGCAGCTTGGTTTTTACTTTTGAAAAATCAGCTAGGGTAGGGGGAAAGCTCCAGATGTATTTTGAAGTATGATCCCTCGGAGAGAAGTGCAAGCCAGGATGGCCCTAGGATAGGTGTTGCTTGCCTTGGATTTAGAAGAGCTGTGTTGATCTACATCAGAGACGACTTCGAGAAGTGCTTCTCTGAAACGTCCTTAGTACCCAGGCTTGATGAGGGCTTCTCAAGGTGAAGTCCTTGCCAAACCTCACAGGCCCCTGGGCTAAAGCACTTTCTGAAGCTCCCTATCTACCCAAACTTGACTAGAGAAGCCCTCAGGAACCCTCACCAGGCCCTGGGCTGAGGGAGGGTGTGTGTGCTTTGGAAAGTGCTTCCCAAGCTCCCTTCCCACCTGGCAGCAAGCCTTGGCAAGGACTTCTCCTCAAGCCTTATCTTCCATGAGCTTCTCCAGTCCTCTTTTAAAGCCATCCAAATTGGTGGCCACCATCATAGTTCCATCGTTTAACTATGTGCTGTGTGAAAATGTACTTCCTCTTATGTGTCCTGAATCTTCTAACATTCAGCATCATTGGCTGCCTGTGAGAATTTGTTGATTTGTACTGCTCAACTATTGCGTGTATACAGTCACACAGAATGTATGCTTATTGAATGCTACATGTGAATAGCATACAGGGTTATAGCTCAAATATTTGTGAACACAAGTACACAGATTATATGCCCCTTTGGTTTCATTTTTCATATTCAGAAGATCCAGGAACCAAAGCAGGAACAATGCTGTGATAAGTTTGTTTGGGTGACTCACAGAGTAATTCCATGTTGTAACCTCATGCTATGTTTGCCTTCAGTGGTCAGCTGCCTTTTTCTCTTTGGCAAAGTATGGCCAGCATGGCATGAGTTGGCTGAAGGAA